AGCCTTCTTCTCTTCTTCTTCTCCCGTCTCTTGGCGTGGGTGGTAGCACTCGGCCTTGCTAGTCGAATCGCCATTAGGCAGCATTCGCCACCACCGCCTCAGCCTCCTCAGGAGCCAACTTGTCCCTCAAGTGCTTTTGGGGCCTAATTGTCAACCCCGATTATGCCTCATCTGACTCTTTAAGGTAGAGCACCAGGATTGTAGCCCAGATTTTATCTTACTCGATCAGTGGCACATGAGATAGGCCGACCACTCGGAGGATAGTCAGCTCGAAGAAGTTGTTGATCTCTCTCGATCCACTTAAGATCTTACCTTATCGAGCCCGTGTTTCTCCTCATTAGTAAGCATGTCTGGCTTCAGCACATTATTCTTGACCTCGGGCCAAGTCGGACAAAGTAGGATGAAGTCAGCCCTAAAAAGCTACATGAACTTCTCCTTCCAATCTTTGTTCGAGTTAGGAGAGTTCGAGATGAGTTTGAAGCCACCTAAATTCTGAAGATAATAATGCCCTTCTTTCTTGGTGGTCTTAACGCTGACAAGATGACCGAAAATGCGTAGACTCAGCACGACATCAACTCAGTGGTAGATCACCACATATGACACCAGAGTAGCGATCGAGTTCGGCTTGATCTGAGAAGGGATACCCCCAATGCTTTGCAAACCTGACATATGAAGGGGTGCAGCGGTAGGCAGAGTCCATACTCCAAATATTTCAAGTAGATCGGAGCCCTACCATCGCTATGGTGATATACAGCCTCTGACCTCTTTGACGTCGAAAGAGTGAAGGCTTTAGGAAGGTCGAAGCAATCATAATAAGCTTCAAGATCCATTGTACAGACTTTCAAACAAAATAAGTAGAGGAGGTTGATCCTCATCTCGTTGCGGTCAGAAGTGGAGGCGAGGGAAGCCATCGCAGTTAGTCAAAGTTTTTGTGGGAAACCGTTCGACGATGAGAGCTAGGATTTTTGAGATTAGGTGGCAGATAGATTTGTAAACTAAGCTCTACTTAGAAATGAGCTACATGTAGGCTCAAGCGGGGACACATGTTAAGATCAGAACGGTCAACTTGGTCAGGAATAGACAGCTAAAATCGACCTCGAGAGTCTAACCATCGGTACGAGAAATGAAGCGCTACAAGTTGATCAATACACCATCCATCTCATAGATCGAAGCGATGATGGCACATCATACTTGCTGACGTCAAAGAGTCACCTCAATAGCAACCCGTCACTTTCTTCATAATTGCGCATCGGAACTCACCAAACTACAATCGTTTGAACTTCCACCCATACTCGGCCAGCCGAGTTTGAGTGGAAGGGGCCTAGTGTTATAGGCTGTAAGTTAACCAAGTGTTAATCTTTGCTGCGAAGCTGACGCGTGTCCACCCCATGCTTAATGAGAAGGGTTCAGAACCCAGACAACTCATGCTGCTCCCTCAGTCGACTCAATAGGTTGACAACTTTTGTTGACGACCAGAAAGGCGATACTTTTCGGCCTACACACCTGATCGATCCTATAAATACCCACACTCGACCTATTGTTCTAGCCGATAACTTGCGTAGCCGATTAGAGAGGCGGTGCTTGTCAGCCTTCAGCTGGACGGCTGGAGGAGCAGTGTGTCCCCGGTCGACAACCAACTAGCTCGCATTAAGATAACTTGCGTAGCCGACTAGAAAGGCGGTGCTTGTCAGCCTTCAGCTGGACGGCTGGAGGAGCAGTGTGTCCCCGGTCGACAACCAACTAGCTCGCATTAACTGCTTTGACAAATTGATTATTGCTCTAGCCTTTATAGTCTTTATGGCTCATCGGATCCAGTTAGCTCCAAGCATCAACAGTCTTACCCACAATAGATCTGATCGACGGTGGTCCACGGATATCAACATCTCCGTCACAGGCCAAGATCCCACGCAAGCAGCGGGCGATAAACACCCGTTGCGTTTGTTTGAAGAGAGTTGTATTTTTTTTATTTTTTTCATTGTGTAAGAAAGTCTTATAAAAAGACTAATTTTACTTTGAATCTGTAATCAATAAACGTGTAATAGATTCAGCAATGAAGAAATCAACTTTCACCGCAAACAAACTGGCGACCACAGTGGAGACACCTCAGGCAAACCCGGGGGCTCTATTTATAGGCTTTACGAATGTCCAGGCGGTTAAAACCGCCTAAAAGACCATTTCTGCGTTGGAGACACCTCAAGGTGTCTCAAACTGGGCCGAGACACCCTAGGGTGTCTCGGCCTTGGCCGAGACACCTTGGGGTGTCTCGTGTCTCAAACTTGGCCGAGACACCTTGGGGTGTCTCGGGTGGGCCGAGACACCTCGGGGTGTCTCATTCAGGCTGAGACGCCGTGTTATGTACACTTGTTCGTTTCCGCCATAACTTCTTCGTCCGAACTCAGTTTTGAGTGATTCGAAATGCGTTGAAAAGCCGACGAGGAGTTATATAAGCTCCAATGATTAGATCATCTGTGGAATAAATGAGACACGACGGGTATTTCGCCGTTTGTGAACGACACGAGACGCCCGATCAGTTCGTTCCCTTGTTATTCCGAAATTTTGTTAGTTTACGTAGTTCGTCGATTTACTTCAAACGTTTACTAACGCCAATCAAACTTCTGTGACTCAGATAGTGACGTTCATCGTCATTTCTTAACACTGAGCTGTTCGTGGAGTCCTATAGGCAATTTTCGATGCCTACAGGCTAGACTGTGATATTTGTTAAGGCTAGGATATTTGATTGGTTATGCTGTGCATGGTTTGTTGAGGAGTGCTTTAACTTGCAGATTGAAGTCCTTTGAGCGCATTGGTATGAGCAAGAAGACCGAGGTGGAGTTTGGCACTTCTATCCATCGATCGAGGGGACTTTTAGGTGGTGTTCATTCAGGCATTTGGGGGCCTTCCAAGGAGGCATCGTTAGGAGGTAATATGTATTTGGTTTCCGCAGTTAGGGACTGTTCTAGGCATTAGTGGGTTGTAACCAAGTCCCGTTGGTTTGAAGTCCTAGAAGTCACTGATGGAGGAAGTGTGTTGGCAGAAATGTAATCCGTCGTTTTATTTTTGGTAGGGATTCTTTCTTGTATTTGTGCCGAGCTCACGGTAGTTTGGGACACTTCATTGGAGAGGAGACATTGGGGCGATGATATGAGATGACAGTTTTGATGGATCATTTCTTACTGGAGGAGGATCGACGTTTGTTGTCGAGCATTGGATTGCAGAGGAGTTTTGGAGCTTCGACATATTTGGGTCATCTTAGTCATAAATTGCCAACTGCTGTATTTAGAGATTTTAGATTTGGTAGAGCTGCTTTAGATTTTTAGTTGCGTCGGATATTTAGTTGCCTAGTATTTGATCACATCGAGGATGTGAGATTTGATCTGATTGCACGTTTGTGATTTAGAGGCTCGTTTGGTTATCAGTTGGGAGCTTCTAATTTTGTTTTGAGCAGGTATGTTACATTTGACTCTTGGAAGGTGGAGAGTGTTGATCAGATCATTGAGATATCATAGCGGGTGGAAGGTGATGCTACTCCACATTGGGTGGAGATTACTCTACATACTTCAGATCATACTGTATCATTTGAGATTCCAGCTGAGGTGACACAGTTTGGGGATCATTTGAATTTGGATGCAAATGATGAGTTGGTTTTGGATTCGAATGCAGTTGGTGGACATAATTCTCATTTGGTTATGGTCATTGGTTCATCTCAGGTGGAGGTGTTTAGTTTGTTTCACTTTGGGGCCATTGAGAGTTTTATCAGCCGCAGATTTGTTGATGATGTTGGAGAAGGGTTGTGAACTCTTCTAGTTGATTGAGGACCTTTGAAGGCCATTTGGTGAACTACGCGAATGCTTGATTCCTTGGACAAGAAGATACGTAGGCAGTCATTTATGATGCAACCGGTTTGGTGAGTTGATACCGATATTTGGAGTTTGTTCGCATTCTCGTTTGGGTTCTCGACTTGTTGTGGATTGAGTCCGTTGTTGTGGATTTGTTTCACTTCGTACTGGACGTAACAAGTAAGACGTTTGGTTAATATTGGTGTCGGCACAGTTTTGGGAAAACTTTGCCGAGATGGAGAATTGTTGGATAGCATGTTCCTAATATTTATGCTTCCTAATCTTTTTTGGTAACAAGTTATTGACTAATCTGTTTTGGTAACAGAATTTTAAATTTGTTTTGATAACAGGTTATTAGGATTCCTAATCTGTTTTGTTTTTGGTTTTAGGATTTCTATATATATGGAACGATTGGAAGAGAGAATTGAGCAGCGAATTGGGGATATTTGGAGCACAGAAAAGAAGTATTTTCTGAACTATTGGCTAGAGTTTTATTTGGAGAGAGTTAGAGATTTGTTGGTGAGATTAATTAGTGAGTTCGAGTAATTTGTAATCTCAGTTTGTACTCTTCTTCTCTATTAATGAAAACCTCATCCCCTTCTTGCCCCGTGGACGTAGGCAAATTGCCGAATCACGTTAAAATTAGTTGTTTGTGTTCGTGTTATTATTTTGATTGTGTTTGGTCTTCTCTCGGCGTTTGTTTAATTTGGTCTCTCGAAGCACATCGGTTTGGTTTTGGCTTCCTACGCGCACAACATCAAGTAGGAACTCTAAAGTTCTTTTGTATCTAAATTGCAAGGAATAATAGAGATACTTATAACCCCTTCGTGTAAATTACTCTAGTTCAAGGAATTACATAACTATCTACTTGAAATTATTGTAGTTACGGGTGGGAATCGAACGAATCGAATCGAATACTGAGATGTTCATATTTGTATTTGTGCGAATTCGAACCCAAAATCAAATATCCATGTTTGAAGTATTTCGAATTCGAACTTGAATACTCAGTATTTAATAAATATTCATGAATATTCACGAATATTTATCGAATGTCAAAGTATATTCATTGCGCTAAAGAATTTAATTTTTAAATAGTATTTAAATTTGTAAATGAAAATTATTCTAAATAGTTATGATGTATATATATTTAATTCGAATATTTCATTAGAAAACAGATTTAAGATCTTTAAGTTTCTTAAAATTAGTATATAGAACTTAAGCAGAAAATATAAGTACGTTGAAAATATAAAATCATATATGTAATGATACAAATTATAAGCGATCAAATATTAAATGAATATTTGATAAGCAAATGAATCGAATATACCCATGGTTAAATTCTATTCGTTAATGGACTCCAATAATAAGTATTATTTGTTTAATGTTAAATGAACACCGTGTCGAGTATGACCAAATAGTTAGTCGAATAATTAACTAACTAATTGTTAATTATTAGGTTCGTTTCCACACCTAATTGTAGTTCAGTTTTCTTAAATTTTTTGGGTCATTTAGACACTAATCCTTCAAATCTATGAAATTGCTTATATATATTTTACTCAAATCCCAAGGAGTCTTTGCAAGTTGGTTCCCTAATATTCAAACTAGTCCTCGACTAATGTTTTCTAAACATAGAGGGATTTTCGGTGGGAGCATTAACTGATGAGCGTTCTGATCACCTATGAGCAAATTGGATCTAGAGGACCGATGTGAATTAAAGATTGGAGGGACTATTAATATCCAAGTAGTCTTTTATTTTTTAAGAGCAGAGGTTGTACATAATACATATATTATATTAGGTAATATGATGTGTAAATCAAACTTTTTCGGACTAACTACCACAGAGCAATATATACAATCTACAAAACAAGCCACAGTACTCCCAATTAATGCGTGTGACCTAACTTATAATTTGAATCATCTTTTCTGAAACAAAACACTTCCAGATACTTGGCACGTCACTCCTCCACACGCCACAACACCAACCTCCACCCAAAGATGTCCTTCAATTTCCTTTCAATTCTGTACGCGCGTGCCCGCAGCCACAACACCAACCTCCACCCAAAGATGTCCTTCAATTTCCTTTCAATTCTGTACGCGCGTGCCCGCAGCTAACTCGCTTTCACCAAATCTACCAGCCAATTCCCAATCCAACCCTGGGGGCCACCCTGAAGTAAACCACAGCTCGCGGCTCGATCCTGCCCCTCTCCTCAAGGGTAACTCCATCGAAAGTTGGGTTAATGGGTATTTAAATATAATCATGGGGTTATATGTGCAGATACCAGGTTGTAATTGTGATTTATTTAGGGGCTAAATTACAAAAGTACAACATCTATAAATAAGGGGTTATGGTCCCTAACCTAGGGTTACATTCTCTAATTCTCTACACCCCCATCTAGCTAGAGAAATTCGGTTCTAGAGAAACTCTAAGGTTAGAAGATCCAAAACCCAAAATCAAGATCAAGCAATGGATTCAGGTATAAGCTTCCGCTCTTTTAGATTTTTGTTAATCTCTTTGAATTAATCATGGCTATATGGTTTTAGATCTCAAGTTTTATGATGTAGATCTAACAAAATGATGTGTAAATCAAACTTTTTCGGACTAGGGATTTAAGTTTTATTGGGTTTTTGATCTTAAATCTCTGGTTAAAGATTCAATTTTTGGGTTCGGATGAACAGTAACGAAAATTTTCGGATGAACAGTAAAAATTTTTTTGTTCGGCTGAACAGTAACGAACAGTTTTCGGGTGAACAGTAACTGAAAAATATCCGTTGAACAGTAACTTTTTGGAATTTTTTGGATTTTTCTTTGATTTTTTCTTCAATTTTTTCCAATTCTGGATCTGTTTTGAAAATAAAAATCAAAGGTTTTTTGGGTTTGTCGGCGGCGGTTTCAATTTGAAACCCTAAGGGTTCATGGCGAAAATTAAGGAGGTGGTTACCTCAAACGAACCTCGCGTTCGTTCAATTTTAACCGAGCTTCGCGCTCAACGAACCTCGCGTTCGTTCTAAGGTGAACCTCGCGTTCAACTCAGGTGAGCGTCAAGCTCAATTTTAACGAACCTCGCGTTCGTTCTAAGGTGAACCTCGCGTTCAACTCAGGTGAGCGTCAAGCTCAATTTTAACGAACCTCGCGTTCGTTCTAAGGTGAACCTCGCGTTCAACTCAGGTGAGCGTCAAGCTCAATTTTAACGAACCTCGCGTTCGTTCTAAGGTGAACCTCGCGTTCAACTCAGGTGAGCGTCAAGCTCAATTTTAACGAACCTCGCGTTCGTTCTAAGGTGAACCTCGCGTTCAACTCAGGTGAGCGTCAAGCTCAATTTTAACGAACCTCGCGTTCGTTCTAAGGTGAACCTCGCGTTCAACTCAGGTGAGCGTCAAGCTCAATTTTAACGAACCTCGCGTTCGTTCTAAGGTGAACCTCGCGTTCAACTCAGGTGAGCGTCAAGCTCAATTTTAACGAACCTCGCGTTCGTTCTAAGGTGAACCTCGCGTTCAACTCAGGTGAGCGTCAAGCTCAATTTTAACGAACCTCGCGTTCGTTCTAAGGTGAACCTCGCGTTCAACTCAGGTGAGCGTCAAGCTCAATTTTAACGAACCTCGCGTTCGTTCTAAGGTGAACCTCGCGTTCAACTCAGGTGAGCGTCAAGCTCAATTTTAACGAACCTCGCGTTCGTTCTAAGGTGAACCTCGCGTTCAACTCAGGTGAGCGTCAAGCTCAATTTTAACGAACCTCCCTCGACGCGCAGTCCTAGAGCTGATGAGAGGAAGAGCTGATATCTCACTTTGATGAGATATCTGGCTTTTGGTTCTTGTTTCCTTTGAGAAACGAGAATTTCATTGTGATCTAATCTCTTGTTGTGCACCTTGCGCACCGGAGGTGCTGCCGAAATTTCCGCTGCGCACAACAAGTGGTATCAGAGCTCCGGGTTGGACTTGGGAGCTTGTTTGAAGGATTCGCTGAAGGATTCTTATTTGAAGATTAGATCGACAATATGGGTGAAACAAGCTCATTGGGATCGTCTCTTACGAAGACGATACATAGTTTGAGCATCAATAACATGAAGATTGATGTTCCGAAGTTCGACGGCAAGATTAATTTCGGATTGTGGAGGTGTCAGGTGATGGACGCCTTGGACGCTCAGAATTTGGAGGAGACTCTTGAGTTACAAGAGAAACCTGCCGATATGGAAGCTAAGGTTTGGAAGAAGATGAATAGTAGGGCGTGTGGAGTTATTCGGTCATGCTTGACGCCGGATCTTATTTATGACGTGATGAACGAGACTTCGGTGAAGAATATGTGGGAAACACTCAATGAAAAGTATCTTACTAAGAGCATTGAGAATCGGCTTCACTTGAAGAAGAGGTTTTACCAGTTCAAGATGAAGAGGGGAGTTTCCATTAGGGAGCATGTTAATAACTTCACAAAGCTACTTTCAGACATGGCTAATGTGGGTATCATGGTTGAGGATGAAGACAAGGCGATGCTACTTTTGTGTTCGTTGCCAGATGATGATTTTGGTACGTTTGTCCTAACTATGATTAATGGAAGAACTACTGTTAGTTACAAGGAGGTGACCTCAGCGTTGGTGAATTATGAGTTGAGGAAGAGTGTTGATGAGTCCTCCGAGAAGGCATCGGGAGATGCATTAGTAGTTCAAGGCCGTGGTTCAAACCGAAGCAGAAGGTCGCGGTCTAGAGGTGCACATCGTGGGATTCATAGGAATCAATGTGCCTTTTGTAAAGAGGATGGACATTGGAAAGCCGATTGCCCAAAGTTAGATCGAGCCGAGAAGAATAAGGGGAAAGCTGTACAAGCTCCAGAGGTGAATGTTGTCAAGACAAGTGGCAACAATTCAGATTCGGATTCTTCGGGCTATTCGTTGTCTGCACTACCGTCAGTTTGTGTTGCCAACTCTACAGAGTGGATGTTGGATTCGGGTGCTTCATACCACGTTTGCCCTAGGAGGGATTGGTTCTCTAGCTTTCAGAAGTTGGAAAGAGAGGATGTTGTGCTCATGGGTAATGGACATGCATGCTCTATTGGTGGTATTGGGACCGTTCGGATTAAGATGAGTGACGGGATGGTGCGGGAGTTGGAAGAAGTGAGGTTCGTTCCGCAGTTGTCGAAGAACATCATTTCACTAGGAGCTTTGGTGGCATCTGGCTATAAAGTGACCTTGGTGGATGCACGTTTGAAGGTCACATCGGGATCCATGATTGTGATGAAGGGCGTCAGAAGAAGCAATTTGTATTATTTGCTCGGAAGCACGACGATTGATAGGGAGATGACGACTTCATCAGATTCGGCTAGACTGTGGCGTTGTTTGATGCTGGGTTATTTGATTGGTAATGCCGTGTATGGGTTATTGAGGAGTGCTTTGACCTGCAGTTTGAAGTCCTGTGAACCCATTAGTATGAGCAAGAAGACCGAGGTGGAGTTTGGCACTTCTATCCATCATTCGAGGGGTCATCTGAGGGGTGTTCATTCAGGTATTCGGGAGCATTCCAAGGGAGCATCATTGGGAGGTAATAGGTATGTGGTTTCCGCAGTTGGGGATTGCTCTAGGCATTGGTGGGTTGCAACCAAGTCCCGTTGGTGTGAAGTCCTAGAAGCCCGTAACAAATGGAGGAAGTGTATTGGCAGAAAGGTGAAGGTACTTCAGTCTGATATTAGAAGGAGGTACAAGAGGGACCTATGTCTGCATTCGTGCCGAGCTCACGGCAATTGGAGACACTTCATTGGTGTGGAAACTTTGAGGCGACGAGGCGAGATGGCAAATTTGGGGACCTGTTCCTTTCTGGAGGAGGATCGGCGTTTGATGTCGAGCATTGGCATTGGTGTGCAGGCTACGATATGTTTGAGCCATCTTATGTATAGGTTACCGACTGCTGCATGTATAGATATGAGATCTGATGGAGCTGCTTCAGATTTTGGGTTGCGTCGGATGTTTGGCTACCCAGCACTTGGTCACATCGTGGATGTGAGATTTGATCCGATAGCACATTTGGGATTCAGAGGCGTGTTTGATTATCATGTATTGGCTTCTGACTTTGTTCTGAGCAGGTATGTCACATTTAACTCTCGGCAGGTGGAGAGTGGTGATCAGATCTTTGGGATATCGCAGCGGGTGGAGAGTGATGCTACTCCACGTTGGGTGGAGACTCCAGATCATACTGTATCATTTGGGATTCCAGCTGAGGTGACACAGACTGGGGATCATTTGGATATGGATATAGATGATGAGTTGGATTCGATTGCAGCTGATAGATGTAGTCTGGATATGGCCATTGGTTCATCTCAGGTGGAGGTGTTTGGATTGTTTCAGTTTGGGGTCATTGGAGGTGCTATCAGCCGTAGACTTGATCGTGATGTTAGAGAAGGGTTGCGAACTCTTCTATGGATTGAGGCCTTTGGAGGCCATTTGGGTGAACTACGTTCGGCTTGATTCCTTGGGCAAGAGGATACGTAGGCAGTCTTTATGATGCAGCCGGGTTTGGATTAGTTGATGGGGGTGAGATCGATTTGGAGAGCGACATCGACATTTGGGGTGAGTGTTCGCACTCCCATTTGGGTCTCAGCAAGTGAGACATTGGGTATAGTCGGTGTAGGCTCAGTTTGATTTGGTGAGTAGACACTATTTGTTTTGGGTTGAGTGTTCGCACTCCCGTTTGGGTCTCGACCTGTTGTGGATGGAATCCGTTGTCATGAGTCTGTTGCCATGGCGTACTGGATACAATAAGTGAGGCATTTGTTTTGGTTGGTGTCGGCTCAGTTTTGAAAGAAACTTCACCGAGGTGGAGAATTGTGAGCACGTGATGTGTGGGGACCACTTATAACTTGCATCCGGTTGTGAGTGGGAATTGTCCGCTGGATCTTTTGATGGCCCACCCGATTGTATGGACTATATATTCGTTTGGTTCCTAGGGTTGCGTGGAGCAGGAGGTTGGTGTTGTTTCTTTTGCGGCTGTGGAAAGGACGCAAGAGGCAGAGGGGAGATAGGAGAATTGATTGGTTGCTGCAAGGGGCGTGCAGGAGATTTGTTCTCTGTTGACTGCGGCTGAGCAAGAAAAAAAAAAGGCTTGGTTGCTGAGGTGCGCGCGAGGAGTTTTTGCTGCGGGGATTCTTTTCGGCTGCAGGAGAAAAACGCAGGCAACAGCTAGGAGATTTTGAGCAGTCCCTTTTAGGGTTTTGTGTCTTCCCCTTTTGAGAGAGATTTTGTGTGAGGGATCTGAGAGTTTGTGAGAGGGTTTAGATTGTGAGATTGTAAACCCCAGTTGTATCTCTCCCTCTAATAGTAGATCTCTCCCCTCCTTGCCCCGTGGACGGCCCCGTGGACGTAGGCAATTTGCCGAACCACGTAAAATTTGTGTTCTTGCCGTGATTTGTAATAGCTTGTAGGATCCCTCGACGCGCAGTCCTAGAGCTGACGAGAGGACCCTCGACGCGCAGTCCTAGAGCTGACGAGAGGAAGAGCTGATATCTCACTTTGATGAGATATCTGGCTTTTGGTTCTTGTTTCCTTTGAGAAGCGAGAATTTCGTTGTGATCTAATCTCTTGTTGTGCACCTTGCGCACCGGAGGTGCTGCCGAAATTTCCGCTGCGCACAACAAGTGGTATCAGAGCTCCAGGTTGGACTTGGGAGCTTGTTTGAAGGATTCGCTGAAGGATTCTTATTTGAAGGGTTAGATCGACAATATGGGTGAAGTAAGCACATCGGGATCGTCTCTTACGAAGACGATACATAGTTTGAGCATCAATAACATGAAGATTGATGTTCCGAAGTTCGACGGCAAGATTAATTTCGGATTGTGGAGGTGTCAGGTGATGGACGCCTTGGACGCTCAGAATTTGGAGGAGACTCTTGAGTTACAAGAGAAACCTGCCGAGATGGAAGCTAAGGTTTGGAAGAAGATGAATAGTAGGGCGTGTGGAGTTATTCGGTCATGCTTGACGCCGGATCTTATTTATGACGTGATGAACGAGACGTCGGCGAAGAAGATGTGGGAAACACTCAATGAAAAGTATCTTACTAAGAGCATTGAGAATCGGCTTCACTTGAAGAAGAGGTTTTACCAGTTCAAGATGAAGAGGGGAGTTTCCATTAGGGAGCATGTTAATAACTTCAACACCGGAGCTGGAGTCAGCAGGGCCGAAGACGCCGGTCTTAGGGTGCGGGCACCAGTACTTGTCGGACTCCGACGAGATCACATGGTCCGGGACCACCGCCGGCCGCACGTGCTCGTCGACGTTCTTGTCGTATGACGACGAGAAGTAAGCCACGCTCCTGTAAACACAATTAGGTAAATTACTAGGGGGTTGTCTGCAAATTTGCCAAGAATATTAGGAACAGCTGGGGCATCGTTGTACCGAACTCATGCTCAGCTATTTTCAAAAGACGAAACTGCCCGTACGGGTTCTAATTAATTACGGATATTTTCCGCCATCGATGTCCGAATCGACGGCACAGATCACGCATCGTGTTGGTTGGAGACTAGTGGCAGACACTTGTCCCTCTTGCTAATAATAGAGGAGATTCTTTTTCTCTTTTCAACTTTTTGTTTTAATTTTTTCTTTCTTCAAGAGAGTGACATTATCTTTTTACTCTTTATTTTTTGACGAACTTTGCTTTAAATAGAGGGACAAGATATTTTAATCTGACAAGATATTTTAATCTTAGTTCTATTTTGAAAATAAATAGCTAAAATAGGATATTTTCGTAGAAATCAAAGGAAAATCTAAGTTTGATTTTTTTTTTCGGAAGCAATTTTTTTCTCAGATAGAGGGAAAACATAAAAACTGTTAGTTAAACGTCCCTCTTTAGAAAAAAAAATCTCAGTAAAAAAATCTCAGAAATAGAAGAAAAGACGGCAAAATATCAGTAAAACTTTAGATCAAGCGAAAGTAATTGTCAAAATAAAGTAAAAACAAAAAAAGAAATTATAAACGCTAGGCACGCCCAAGCTGCTGTTCTTTGTACCAAGATATTAATCATAGATCTTTGCAGTGATAAGTAAGTTTACTGTAAAGGACTTTCTATTTTAGTAATCTTAACTTAGTTTTCATTAATAACTTTGTTTTTCAATAAAAGGAAATAAATCTCGGCATTTCGAAAGAGGAAATTGAAGAAAAGACAGTAAAATCTCAGTGATACGTAGATAAACCGCAAGGAATTATAAAAATAGAGAAAATTTGAAGAAAAAAATAAACCCTAAGTTTGATGCTAGATCTTCGCAGTGATAACTAGATCTGCTTCTAGTAAACAGCCTTTCGATTTTTAGTAATTCTCAGCTTAGTTTTCAACAATAAAAACCTCAAATAACATCACTCTAGAGATCTAACAGCTTATTTTGAGCTAGTTATCATCGTTGAAACTACAAAGTCGCTTCAACCCCAATAAAAAAAAATCACAAGAAAATATCTCAGGATCTAGTTCACCTCAAAGATGATCGTTGGATAGAAGCAGGATCCTTAGCTTTTACCGCCGAGATCTGGTTCGCCAATCGCTTGCCAAAGCTTCCAGCGATCACTTGCCCCTTCGAGATGGCGGCCATACAATAAAGAAAATTTTTGATTAAATTTGAAGGGAAAAGATTTAGATATCGGAGCTCAAAGAGCGAGAAGATGAAGTCCTCCTCCTCGCTATCGTCGCCCAAGTCCCTCATTTATAGTTGGAGGGTCCACCTCACGTACCCGCTCACCTATTCGCGACCGTGCTGGTTCCGTATGCCGTCAATAAACGGCGAGCGCTTCCCGTTTAAGAGAATCCCTGCTTAGTAAGCGGCAACGTTTGTCTGAACGGTGAAGGAATATTCTATAGTAGATTCTAGATACCGTCTTCTGTTAGTTAACGCCGTTTGAGGTTTTATGTTTAAGTGCTTGTAGTTTACACATTTATTTCTTTGCATCTAGTATTTTGCATTTATGACCTTTTTTATGTTTAAGTGCTTGTAGTTTACACATTTATTTCTTTGCATCTAGTATTTTGCATTTATGACCTTTTCATTGCATTTACGCCATTGCAAACTGGTAGGGTTGGGTGCGGGCCGGGTCGACCCGCAGGCTAACCCGGCCCAGCCCGCCATGGATCACGACCCAACTCGGTTTGTAATTTAAACTTAAATTAAAGGAAAGTGTTATAGTCTGCAAAAAACTAAGTATTGATTTTTCTTGAGTTGTCAACACGCGTCCCGCTCCACGCTAGATTAGACATGATCATAGTCCGGACGACTCGATCCGCTCCTGTGGCTGATTCCATAGGCCAAAAACTTACATGGCTGGCTCAAAAGGTGATACTTGCCGACCTACCTATCAGATAGAGCACACAAGCGGCTCAAAAGGTGATACTTGCCGACCTACCTATCAGATAGAGCCCACAAGCCTCCTCCCGAGCCAGGCCGAGTCGAGACTAGCTGTCACTCGACGTCATCAATCGAGTCGACCACCCTCATTCACTCAAAGCTGGGTCGACATCTTGCGAAGCTGACTCGAGAGGCGATACTTGTTGACCTATCCTCCAGGTCTAGCCCTCACGACTTCACACTCGGCCTGCTATATCAGCCAACAACTTGTGTAATCGAGTAAAAAGACAGTGTTTGTCGGCCTTCAGTCGGACAACTAGAGAGGCGGTGTATCCTCGAATCCCCTACCGACAAGCAGTCACCATCGCATTAAATGCATGGTCAAAAATCATCATTGCTCTAGTCCCAAAATTCTTCATGACTCATCAGGCTCCATCAGCACCAAACAACTGATATCGCTTTGCACTAACCACCTAGATGACCCCTGACATCCTTGGTCGACACTTCCACATGTATACAACTTCTTCTTACTTTAGAGCTATTTTTAGTTTATTGGTATCTTCTCTACTCAAGCTCAAATACTGACTTGATCGTCAGAGAAATCACCGGAGAACCCAACTTTGGTCCTCTAATGAGTGTTATTGTGTAGCTCTCTAATACAGACAGGGGACCTGTTGTGGCATTTTCAACCGTCAAATTAAGATCTCTTATCAACAACAGACAAGTATTCCACGTTACGCCTAATTTAGGCGACTCAACACTTAAGATAGCCAAGTCCAGATTCAGTCAACTCGCCGGGTCGATATCTCTCCAAAGTCGATTCAAGAGGCGGTACTTGTCGGTCTTTTCGCCACGAGCCTACCCGACTAATCATCTAGCCGACATCTTACGAGAGCCGACTCGAAAGGCGATACCTCTTAACATCCCTCCACGCGAGACAAAAGGCAACCGCAACCTCGATCTCCCCACTGACAGCGTGTCGACATCACATTAAATGTGTGATAGACGCCATCATTTCTCCATCCCAACACTATTTATGACACATGGAACCACGTCGGCTACACATGCCGTCTATCCCATCTCATCAAATGCTGAAGTGACCAGCTCAATCCGTGGCCGACACTTGTAAAGTCAAAGCTGACTCGGCCGCCAACCCTGACTCGGCTGAATAGACTAAAATGCTCCTCCTTCATTGCTATGAAAGAGAAAACTATTCTCAACACAAGGTAAGAAATTTTCTCAGTATTTTCTCCATTTCACTGCACTTAAGAACTACTACAGTTTGCCATTTTTCTCACTCAAGTACCTTGCCTCTTACGAGTTATTACATGTGAAGGGAAGAACAACTCTTCTCTGAACCAGATATTCGGAGAAGTTAGCGTCCCCTGATCAACGTCATTCTGACTAATTTATCTGTTTGATTACTTAACATCAACAAGATCGATCTTCAAAAAGAAATGAGGGAATCCACATCGCTCATATCGACCTTAAGCCCACTGGCTAAACTCGGGATTACCCACTAATCTCGCTGTTGAATCCCTAACATTCACAGAAAGTTATTAACTTTCTGTGGACGTAGATCTTCCTCTGAAGTCTGAATCACGTATATCTTTGTGTTTGTGATACTTTTTAGTATGATGTTTATCTTTGTATAATATGTATGTGTGTATATATCATTTTATATAAATAGTAAAATAGAAAAAATAATTTAAATATAATTTAATAGATACTAATACAAATTTAATATAGTTTAGAAATTAAAAATAAAAATTTTAAAAAAGTTAAAAAACCCACGAGGCGACCCACGACCTGTAGGTGGTGGGTTGTGGGCCGTGGGCCGGGGGCCGAGGCCGAACCGGCC